AACAGCGACTATTACTATCAGCACTACCATTACATGACAACAATACTCTTCGTCAATGATGTTTGGGTTACTAACACTCCTTCTGCTATCTGTATTTTCGAACTTCTCTGTCGCGATGTTGGAAATTTGTTTCTATTGAATCCATTTAGACTGCCCGTCGGGCGGCAACCCGAGGAATGGCTAGCCAGACCTTGGAACTTTCCTCCTTTCTTGAGGCCAAGATCGGCGCTGCTGCCGGTGCCGAGGATACCTCCGTGCAATACGCCGAGACTGGATCCGTCATCTCCGTTGGAGATGGTATCGCCCGTGTCTACGGTCTCTCAAATGTTCAAGCCGGAGAGATGGTTGTCTTTGCCTGCGGACTCCGTGGTATGGCTCTRAACTTGGAAGAGGACAATGTCGGTGTGGTCATCTTCGGTGATGATCGTGACATTTTGGAAGGTGACAACGTCACYCGTACCGGAGCTATTGTCGATGTTCCCGTCGGACCCGAACTTCTCGGACGTGTTGTTGACGGTATTGGACAGCCCATCGATGGAGGTGCATCCCTCGACAAGGTCAAGCGCTCGCGTGCCGAGGCCAAGGCTCCTGGTATCATCCCCAGAGAATCTGTTTCCGAACCCATGCTTACCGGACTCAAGGCCGTCGATGCCCTGATTCCTATTGGACGTGGACAGCGTGAGTTGGTCATTGGTGATCGTCAAACTGGAAAGACCGCCATTGCTATCGATACTATTATCAACCAGAAGACCAAGAAGGAACCACTCGCCTGTATCTACGTTGGTGTTGGACAGAAGCGATCGACCATTGCCCAACTTGTTGGACAGCTCGATGAACGTGATGCCATGGACAACTGCATCATTGTTGCCGCCACCGCCTCCGACTCTGCCCCTCTTCAGTTCCTTGCCCCTTACACCGGTGCCGCCATGGGAGAATACTTCCGTGACTCCGGAAAGCATGCTGTGATCTTCTATGATGATTTGTCCAAGCAGGCTGTTGCCTACCGTCAAATGTCTTTGTTGCTTCGTCGTCCTCCTGGTCGTGAGGCCTACCCCGGTGATGTTTTCTACCTCCACTCCCGTCTTTTGGAACGCGCTGCTAAGATGAACAGCGCCCTTGGAGGAGGATCCCTCACCGCCCTTCCCGTCATTGAGACCCAGGCCGGAGATGTGTCCGCCTACATTCCTACCAACGTGATTTCCATTACCGATGGACAAATTTTCTTGGAATCCGAACTTTTCTACCAAGGTCAACGTCCCGCCATTTCTGTTGGTCTTTCTGTGTCCCGTGTCGGTTCCGCCGCTCAGTACAAGGCTACCAAGGCCGTTGCCGGTACCATGAAGCTCGAACTTGCCCAGTACCGTGAGGTCGCTGCCTTCGCCAAATTCGGTTCCGATTTGGATGCCGCCACCCAGCAGCAATTGAACCGTGGTGTTCGTCTTTACGAACTTCTCAAGCAAGGACAATATGAACCTCAAGAACCCGAAGAGGTCGTCGCCTCCCTCTACATCGGTGTCAAGGGATATTGTGATCGCGTCCCTGTCGAAAAYGTCCAAGACTTTGAGTCKGCATGGCTCACACACATGAAGACAGCACACTCTGGTGTGATGCAAAAGATCGTTGATGCTGGATACGCTCTCCCTGACGATGTCGAGGCCGAGCTCGCCAAGTGCGCCGAAGAATTCACCTCGGCATACGAACCTCCTTCAGAGTAAATCCTTTGCGGTAGTGGCATGACCAATTTCAGTTCTGTCCGATTGGCTGAATTCGCTATGGATTGTGCATCGACGGGAGCTAGCTTGTCTTGCTGCTTTAAATAAAACTAGTCACAATTTATTATACCAGATAACAGCTTCTGAATTCTCTTATTGTCAGTGCATGTCTTCAAACTGATCAGCTTCTTCAAGGAGCATATTTTTGCCGAAACGATGTGTTGTTTTACGAGAGAAGTACATCCATTTCTTCCTCAGTWGAAATACTTCAGCTGAGGCCATGGAGCTCTATCCTACAAACCSACTATCAAAACGCTGCCTCATTGAACCACAGGGCACATCAAACTACAGTCTACAGCTTGCTCGTCATTGCATACAGTACAATAGAATTTGTTCGTATGACATACTCGTGTCGCTCAGAGTAAAATTTATAGTACTTGTCGACACCAGACACTTTCAGTCTAGTATTCGAAGAAAGAGAAAGAAACACCATACGGTTTACGGTTTGGATCACGATCTTATCTTCTCTACCTGTAAATCGGACAGCAATTCAACAAAAAGAATACTATGCTGTACCTTATACCGCACTCAGACCGCATCGGTATCGATGGCACCCACCGCTGCGGCAGCTGCTTCCTCTTCGATCTCTTGTTCCGAGACGGAGCCCACACCGTCCAGCCAACCGATAAAGAGAAGGGGATAGAGAGACGTCAGATTGCACACAAAGCTCAGGAGTCCCAGGTTGTCAAAATTGCTCTCAGTCACCCCCAGAGCTTTCGTCAGGAAAGCCCCGACCTCCGTTCCCAGCGTGCCCGCACCGTTGTTGATAGACATGAGGGTGGCAAACAGGACGGCCTCTACTCCCTTCGGGCACAAGCGGGCGGCCAGTACTAGGGTAGGAAGAAAGGCGATCTCCCCAAGGACACTCAGAACCACGTCGTCCCCAAAGACGAACCAGGTGTCGGGGATTCCAACGGCTCGATTGGCATGGCTGATCAAAACYAGATCCAACAGCCCGAGGGGAAAGGAAACGATGGTTGACCAAAACAAAATGTCCTTGAYACTTTTGCTTTTTAGGTAGTTGTTGTAGAGCAAAACCCCGAAGAGAGAAGAAACAGCAGCGATGAAACTAACTCTTCCAAGGATTTCGGGACCGAATCCTAAGTCGTCCGTCAGAAAGAACAGCATTGCACCCTCACTCGTCGGTGTCGACCTCCACAARAAGATGAACGCTGCCGGTTTGTAGATTTCTGGTTTTTTGATGGCTTCCACAAGARRGCTGATCTGTGAYTTGACACCCGCAAAAGGATCATTGTGATTGAYACCATCTATCGTTGCCACTGCATCATTGTTTGAGGTGACTGAAGAAGTGCTCTCCGACACACGTTCTTCATCGATCAACAGGCCAATCGTGGCTACCAAAAAGGGAAGAGCAGCCGTGAGGGCAAAGACSTCCTGGGGCTTCATGACTTCCAGCAGCGAACCAGAAAAGTAAGCCGAGAGCAATCCACCCAAGGCAGCACTCCCCCAGCACAAACTCTGCAATCCCCCGGCCAGGGCGGGATCGGTGTCGGCCGATTCCCGCGTCTTTTGGACGACGATTCCGTCGGCCACCACGTCGCTGACCGCGATACAGGCGCTGCTGACAACCAGGGCCGCTACGGTGGTGGTCAGGGAGATCTCGTCTCCCAATAAGCCCCAGAAGTTGCTGCCGACAGCAGAATACGAGAGACACCCCGTCATGCCTGCCAGGACCAGGTAAGAGCGCCTCCGGTAGCCAAAGAGGGGGAAGCCATCTGACAGGAATCCGTAGAGCGGTTTTATTGTCCAGGGGAGCGTAAAAACTCCCGTCAGCGCGCTCAGCTCCGCCGGACCCAGGTGGAGCTCATTCTTCAGCAAAAATTTTTGGGCCAATCGTGCCAAGCCCAGAGCCCCTTCTACAAAGTAGATGGTGGCAATCGCCACCACATCCGGTGTCGGATCGATGCCCAGAAAAACACTGTTTTTGAGCATTTCTCGGATGCCTCCGGCTTCCGTTTCCCTGGTTGCAGCAGAATCGCGGATCGCAGGTGACGCGGAAGGTTCGAAATACTCGGAAGGAAGGGTCGTTTCATTCGAACTGTTTCTGTTAGAATCGGATGGAGTGGACACCGTGTCTTCTTTGCTACTCAAAAATAGTTGTGACAAAACAGAGCGCTCGTCGGGGACGATTCGTATTGTGGTTTTCTTCGATGACGGCATTATTGTTTTTGGTWGCAAAGGAGATAACGTTGTTGTGGAAAATCCGACCACATGGYAATTACCTTTGATTGCCAGGCACACAAGGAATCCAATGAAGAAGTGGAGGTTCTTCCTCGACATATTTTTGTTGCGATACGATCCGCTATTCCACCTGAATTGTCAGGTATTTATTCTCGCGCCTCTATTTTAGTCGACAACGGAGTCGCCTTTATCTTCCTATTTCAAAGTCTTACGCAAAGTTTTTGATTTTGCTGGTACTGTTTCGTTTCCCTTTAGTCGTTACTTCTTATGCGGATTTCTTTTCCGATTTAAATCTCTCACAATGCGTGTATCGTCGTTTTGAGGTTCATTTTGCTGAGGACTGTTAGTATTTTCAAAGTTCAATTTTCTAATTTTTCTTCGTCAGTTTGACGCATCATCACGGTCTCTTTATTTCGCCTTCGAATACGATGACGACAAGGGCGYATTCGACTCTTTCGATTACGACCACAAACTAGAAGTACGACGAGCTATTCTTTTAAAAGGCTATGTGAGTATGTTTCATATATTTAGTAAGTAACTATGATCGAAGTATACTATTGTTGTCCAGTCGTATGTAGAGTCATGGAATGACTTACCAGTACGAGTAGTACGAGTAAAGTAAAGTAAAGTACAAGTACTTTTTAGATGAGAAACATTGGGTCATTCCCGTTATTCTAAATCTCTAAAACTCTAAATCTATGTATCAAAATTATTTTGAGTTTTATGTTTTTTGTTGGCACTTCAGAAACATGAGATACGACAGAGTTTGTTGTCATTGACCGGCGAGAGACTACATTTCGAAGCAATAAACTCCGCAATTCGATCATCGATTAGTACCGTCCGACAGCATAGAACAAAGAACCAAGAGGAATATTCTGAGAAAACACAATGGCCACGGTGGGGGAGATTCCGTGTTTTTCCCCACATGCCGATGCACGTCCTTTTTGTTCGCGCCTGGCATCGTGTTGCAGCAGATGTCGGCGGCAGGATAGACCCGAGTCGTCGTCCTTCTGGAAAAGGAACAATCCGACGTTGCAGCTRCTAACTACTCCTTGGGAATACTTCGTCACGATCGACCAGTCGGCTCTGTGGCAGAAACACATCGCCTGGGCCAAACCAAGGGGGAGCGATCTCAAGGCCTACATCTCGTCGCAGTATTCCTCCCGAATGGTCCTCCTTTCGCTGCTTCTGGCCACAGAAATGAGCGTCTTTTTCAATTCTTCGCCCGAACTCGTCAACTTAAGACAGCGATTGTCACTCTTCAATGACGGCCACGACAGCAACTACATGGGGCAGCAGCAACTASTACGCAGCTTTCTTCCCTTTTGGATAGGATTCGTCTTGTTGCTGAACATTTGTGTAACCATCTCGGGGATACTAGCCACATTTACCACCTGGAATGTGGTGTCGGCTATATCGGACTCAAATGCTCATTGTTTGCTGCGGAGTTCCCTGGGGCAATACGTGACGACTTTGTCGCCTAGGTTGTTTGTGGCCTCGCTCTACATGTTTTTGTTGTGGTTTCTGCTCTTTGTGACACAACTAATCGTCGGGGGGGGCAACGGCAGCGACGATGTCTTTTTTGACAGCGAGAATGCTKCCGAATCCATTCGACAATTTTTCAAGAGGCACTTGCACCTCATCCTTTTGTGGGTATGCGTTTTGTTCGGGATAGTCACCCTGTTTTTTAGCATCGTGGTTCCGCTTTCGGCGTTTGGCAGGCTGGTACTGCACACGGGTGCCATGGGCGAAAAGAATGTGCTGTCAGAGTCCCTGCAACTGGATTTGCTGCCTCRTGGCCTTCACGCAGGCCTCGTCATTCGGGCGCACCATTCCCAGCGACGGAACACCGCCGTGACGAACCAGTACAACCGATCACGCAAGCGGCAGCGGCGGATGCAGCCATCAGCACAWCACCAGCKYAGCCAAAACCACAACAATGATAGCTGCGATCGCGAACACCAACAAAGSCGATCGAATATCGCTTCGCCAATAGGCCTTKTCCACGGTGKCGAGGGGGAGCCATCGAAGGATGATGGCTGGGRGAATCCAAAGCATCGCATCGAAAACGGCAACGGCAARGTGAACGGAAACACTTTTTATGAGGGTGTCCATGAGAGCGAACACAGTAATCACGACGGAACGACTTCTTCGGTGATATTCAAAGGACTCGAACCCGAAATGGAATTGTCGTTGGAGACACCTGCTGTTTCTGATTCCAACTCTGGCTCGAAACACGACCGTGTCGAAGACTGTGATTCATTTTCTCGCCACTACGAGGAACTTGGTGCAAATCGTAGCAAAGCAAGGACGAGGGCAACGGACGTGGGCGGTAATCTGTTTGTTTTCGACAGACCAGAGGACGATACGAGAGAGAGGCCKGATTTTCTGCCGCGTGACAAAMCTCACGGACGCTCGAGACGGCACCAGAGAACATTGACCATGGAGACGACAACCTCGCTTTTTCTACCACCCGCAACGATTTTGAACCTGTCCATGACGGCCAATGAATTCAACGAGCTGATCGATAGCGCTATGGATACYAGCTCGCTGTGCTATACAAACTCAGAAACACCTGCCAACAAAACCAGAACCACCASTGGTCGAGAAAAAGGGGAAAATCATGGCAACGAACCAGATCGCTTGGCGACAGCCGRCAACCGATCGGAACGAAAGGAGAAGGGGCGGGGAGCCGCGGGTGCCTTTGAATCACAAAGATTCGAGAGCAATCGCGGCGGTRCTTCGGAGGGGGAGCCCCACGCAACAASCGCTGAGGAGAGCGCCGGCGTCCGGGCGTCGCCCTTTCCCGTGTCCACCAGTGGCACGAGCCCCCGCCCCCACCGAGAGAGGCAGCAGCAGGCGTTCGTGACCCGGCACCACCGCAGGGTCAGCTCCTCCCGCTTTTTGCTGCACGAGTGGAAGGAGGAACACAGCGTGCGGGGCACGTACGGCGCGGCGCCACCGGCCGACCTCCCGGAGGAGATTGCGTGGGAGACCGAGGCCGCGAAAGGGCGATCCGGTCCGGCCGGCGGTGGGGGAAGCGGCCACCGCATTCCTTCTGCCTCGAACCGGGGGCGCTCCCTGGGGGATTGGCTGCTGTCTCCCTTTTCTTCTCCATTGGGAAACTGCCACGGCAGCGATCGCAGAACGGGCCCCGGCTCGTTCTCGCACCAACGCCGGGGAGGGGCCGAGGGCGGTGCAACGCAGGGCCCTTTCTCCCGGGGCCTCCCGAGCGAGCCACTGCTTCCCGATCTCGACACGGACGGAAACGGGAGCGGAGACTGCGACGAGGAAACGGGGGGTTTGCTCTGAGTGTCCGGGATGGAATCCAAACGCCATCCGCGGCCGCGCACACACCGAAGCTTCGACGCCAGGATCGTTCCGTCGCAGCATCATGCTGCAACAGCGAGCGAATCGCCGTCGAAACCGAAGAAAAAGAGAGGCCGAGATCCTAACAGTAAAAACGTGAAGTGCCGGCACTCCTACCATGAATTGCGTCACGGAAGACGATTTGATGAAGCCCCGAAAGGCGTTCACTTTTCTAACTAGGTAACACAAGACGGTGCGATCGCATCGGAAACAGGTACCGTACTGTATTCGTTTCGTTCGGTTCGGCCGTTTAGGTATAGTTGTGAATCGGCGCAAGATTTTCATTCGTTTGGATCCTTCGTGAAGAATCGATTCTACGAATCCATTTCTTCTCGGGACCGAATCAGATCTCACCGTAGCATGTGTTTTTATGACCAATCCGCGAGTGCGTATGCGCACCTCCTCTGCTTGTTCACTCGCACATACGGATAAGTACGGTACGTACCATATCGTAGTTCGATACTCTGTGAAAAATAGCAATAGCACAGATGACGATGCACCCTAAAAACCAAAAAGTTCAATACCTGGAAAACGCACCAACGCTACGCTAGGGTTTTGTTTTCAACGCAACGTTTCTCCCACAGCACGTTTCGCCCGGTACAAGTGGTACGGTAGTATGCGTACGTACAGTTTGCGATGCCGCCGTTTCTGCGAGCRCAGGGGCGGAGAAGAAGTAATGATTTCTGATGACCGAGTTAGTGTGTGTGTGTGTGTATTGTGTGTTGTGTGTGGGTCCGTTCCAAAAAAATTCTCGCTGCGTATCTCTCTCGAATCTCGATCCGAGCAAGAACCCCATCGTTTGGCAGTGCAGGGTTGCAACCCTCCGATACATTGTCGCTACAGAGTCGGCTACGGTGCAGGATCTCCCATCGCTTTCCATCTATTACTATTGTAGATTGTCGGACACGGATCGGTTGGAGCAAGAGAGAAGRAACTTGGATCGAGGCAAGAAGCAGCAAGCAACGAGTCAAGGTTTGGAATCGAGTCGAGTCGAGTCGAGTCAAATCGAAGCGAAGCGAAACGAAACGAAACAAATCGATCCGTTCGATTGGTGCGCCACCCATCTCTCCCCTGCAATCCGATAGAGCACGACACCACGCAGTTGGCACGATACGCAACGCGGGACTCTCGAGAATGCCTCCCTCCGGCGTGCTGGTAGCGCTCTGCCCAGCGGAGTACAGCGGCAACAACGGCAGCAACAACAACAACGGAAACGGAAGCAGCGCGACGGGCGCCTCCGGTGCCCTCTCTCCAAAACCCCCCGCTGCTGCTGCAGCTGCGGCTGTCGCTGCAGAACCGGCAACGGAGAAGGACGCGACGGTGTGTCCCCCTCCGCGGCAGCCRCCGGCGCCGCTCTCGTCCCTGTCKTCCTTCGCCCCGCTGTCTCCCTCCCACCGGTACTCGGCCCGGGTTGCCATGGAACGCATCGCTCCCTTTCTCGAGATGGAAGAAGATTCCGGGAGCGACGACGACGAAGAAGACGACGAAGACGACGCCTTGCTGCAAGACGTCGTGCTAGAAGACATAGCACTGGACGACGAAGAAGGCGAAGCAMGCAACTGCCAGATTGTCAATCRCGACACCACTACGAATCCAGCTGCTTCTCTCMTTGGAAATCAGACATTGCCACTGCCGCCCGGAAAAGGAGCGAAGCAACAAGACGACAACGGGAACGGGAACGTCGACCACGAGACCAACTCCCCCAACTACGACAAGGGATCTTGGATGCCCTTCTCCCACCCGCTCAAAACAGCACCGCGAGACGGCTTGCCCTGGAAGGCGCCGAGAAACAACGCCTGTTGCTCACCCGGAAGCTGCGGCAGAAACCACGACGACGGGTTCGGGGATAGCAGCATCAAGAGCTGCGGAAAGCGACAGAGGACTCACCGCCGGGTTACCTTCCCGTCCGGACCCATTCCGTTCGCAAGGCCTTCGTCTTCGTCTTCGTCTCCGACAAACGACGACGACAACAACACCTGCGATGCTTCGGGGCAGCCCAACAAGTTCCCAAACCGCAATCCACAGGGGAACAGCAAGGACAACAACCACTACAACTACAACTACAACTACAGCAACAAAACCATCAGCAGCAACCCTCTTGTTCGCGTTCGCGACACCATACACAGATCGGAATTTACAAACGAGGAACGCCTTGCAACATGGTACACGTTTGACGACCTCAGGTCCTTCAAGCGAGACCGAAAGGATACGGCGCGGATGATCGACAACGGAGTGCTCTCRCTGCCGTTTTCTCCCTACGAGCCAATGTRTCCGACGAACAAACCGGCCGGGAAAGAGGAAAAGGAGAACAAGGGCGAAACGGGCGATGCCTCGTCGCTGGCCAAGCCGGGGGAAACGCTTGGTCATTGTGCCCGGGGATGCGAGAACTGCACGGAAGCCATCGGCAGAACGCGCTACCGCCGGATCGCCGAGGGATGGAGGGCCGTCCTGAACGCCCAGAAGAAACACCGGTACGAGCAGCAAAAGATGAAGGCCATGACGTCGGCCGAGCAGAACCAGTTCCGAACGCTGGCGTCCCTCTTCGGAAGCGGGAGCAAGCGCCCCCCGCGGGCGGACCACCGGACCAACGMGCACGGTTCCGAAACCCTTTGCTGCCCCCACGCGCTCGCGGAAGCCTACAAGCCCGCGTCGATGGCGAGCCTCGACATTGCCTGGAGCCGGGCGATCGGCGACGAGCGAGAGGCCGCGAAACTAAAGAAGCCTGGGTTGCCGGAGCRCCAACACGACCCCCCACCATCGCGGGAGCAGCCGGTGGAGCCGAAGGCGGGGAGAGATCCGGCGCAGCAAAACCGGACCGACGGAACCGCATCGATCGCAGCTGCCACCGGGCCAGCGGGTGGTGACAGTGGCTGCCGCACCGGAAATGGAAATGCGAGTGGAGGCGATCCSTGTGCCCCTCCGACAAGCCCCCGCGCGGGAGAAGGGGTTGCCGGCGAGGAACACGAGGCGACGCCGGTGGCCGTGCCAGTGGCCGTGCCAATGGCAACGCAGTGAGCGGGGGAGCGGGCTGCACCGGGTCGTTCGAGGAGAAGCCCGCGCGGCTGCGATGCGGCCCGTGGCATGGCAATGAACGTTGCGGCACCGAAAAAMCAATGCGCCACACCATACGGGGCAGCAGCAACAAAAGACAAACAAAAACACCAAAAATACCAAGAATAAGGGATAGCAATGGGGATTCCCTTGGAAAAAACAATGGGTTTCCGTTCCAACCAAGAAACAAACAAGATCGAAGCCGTTTTGCTAGTACCACTCGGATCCGCAGCCGGTCTGCGAACCCCCGCAAACGGGTGCAACTGGATCGAGCAGAAACCACCACTGCACCCAACAGAACTGAGCAACCATTCCAAATAAGCTGGGGTGCAATGGACACGAAAGCACTCTGTGCATATGTTCATCTGTATGGCACGCACGTGTCTAGACAGCCTCTTCCCCCAATCGCGGGATGCACAGAAACTACTGCAAAAAACTAATCKAACTACTAGCACACGATTGACGCGAACGCACTTTTGTACACTGTACGCTTGTTGTTGTATGCCAGAACTMTTCTCCCCTCGCACACGTTAGGCACCCAATGCGATAGCATTCCCGCGGTGGATTTTCGAATCCAGCCCAACGGAAACCAACCAACGCCAATTCGTGCTAGATTACGAAACAAGCCAATGGYATTTGTTTTTCGTGAATTTTTTTTAAATTACTCTTGTAGTTTCCTTTCGTCTAGTTCTTGTGGACAACAGGACCGACGATATCGATCGGTCGGATCCCTCTCGGGTGCGGTTTGACCGATTCCGAACCAGCCCTCGTTTACCCTTCCGTCCGAGGCATTACTGTTCCTTCGCCACTGGCTCGATCTCGGTAAAACTCCTCCACACGGATGGGTCCTGTTCTTTCAGCTTCTGCTCCTSGACCCAATCCTTGACCTTCCAGTCCATGGTCCCGCCCATCTCCACCAACAAATGGTCGGGATCCACCACGTCCAGCTTGTCGTCGCCGAGKTCCTTTAGATCGTCGACRAAGCGGATCCGCTCGCGCACCTTTTTCGTCATGATGATGCGGCTCACCACCGCGAAGAACGCCATAAAGATCGGGGGGGCGTGGCAGATGTAGATGGCCTTCAGCTTGATCGGRAAGTGCCCGTACAGGTGGAAGAGCTTCTTGGCGATCTCTACCCTCGCGTTCTTGCCCTTGTCAAAGCCCCTCAGGTCGTGGACGACAACCACCCCCTGCTTCTGGGCCTCGGGCCGCTGGATGATCTGGTCCAGCGTGTAGAACAGCATGCGGCAGCAGCCGTCGACCGTCCGGCCGTCGGTCATGTCGTTGTTCCGGAAGCGCCCGACCAGGATCGGCCCGCCCTCCTTCGTGGTGAGCTCGGGCGGGCTCACGACGACCTCGGAAACGATCAGGCGCTCGAGCTCCGGGTCCTTGGAGAGCCGGAGGCTCTCGTCGAAAAAGTGCTTGTTGGAGGACTTCCAGCTCAGGAACTCGCGGTACCGCCCGGCCGCCCGGCCGACGTCGGGCTTCCACCACAGAAAGGCAAGCAGGTACTCGTCTCTCACCCCCTCGCACTCGGGTCCCAGCTCGTCCTTGAGATCCTGCAGGAGGGACTCGGGGGAGGGGGAACCGGCAGTGCTGTCGTCGTCTGCCATGCTCGAGTCGTGCGGAATTGCGTTCGCGTCCCGTGATGCGGTATGTGTTTCTGGAATCGATTGATTGATTCGGATCGGATCGAATCGGTGCAAATTCGGATTGGATTGGATTGGATTGGATTGGATTGGTTTTCTTTCGATTCCTTTCCCTTTGTTTGCTTTGCTTTCAACTGACTTGATTGCGTTGCAGAAAGGTGAAAATACTTTTACACTGGAACACTCGAACAATGCAATACTGTACCGTACCTGTTCCTCCGTATCCAATTGTTTTGAAACCTTCACCATGCGTTGCGCTAAAGCAGTACGAGACGGGAGGCCTTTTCGGCATCTCGCTAACTGTACGGTATGAAATGGTACGAAGCTTACTATCACAAGTGGTAAAAAAATGTCGTGCCATAAACTTACTCGTACTCGTACTCTTACTGAATGAGAAGGGAGGGCACAGCACAATCTGATGCCGTTTTGCTTCTGCATGAGAAGGCATTCTTCTTTTTCAA